TCTCTCTCTCTCTCTCTCTCTCTCTCTCTCATCCACTTGAATGAGATATTAAATGAGATATAATACTTATAAATTCCTAAAAGATTTTATCTGGATGTGTATATTAAGGTAATTTTATATAGAATTTTAATATAGAAAATGTTTAAGTTATTAATTTTATAATTGTTATATGAATACTACATATAATTCAATTGTATTAATTCAATTAAAACAACGACGTAAAGCATCATGTTCAATTTGCTAATTATGTATTGTTATTAATGCTTAAATATGATGTATACAATTTGTAGTTCATGGTTTTATTTTAGTTGTAATTTTAATTCTGTAGGACAACATGTATGACATTTTAAATCCTATTAAACTGCATAATTTCCAATATAAGGGCTCAATTGTAACAATTAACTGATATTACATAAATATAAAAGGGTTAAACATTCAATACTTGAAACATAAATTCATTTTTTATAATTTACAAAAATGAGAATTTATTTGTTAATAATCTCTGCATTAGTTTTGTATGAAAAGAGCTGTTCTTCTGAAGTGAACACAACGAGAGACGAGTGGAATGAAGAAGACATCAGTGGTTATCACTTTCACACGTATTTCTTTCAAAACAATGTTCAGAGTAGTGGTCACGCCGAGAGACTCCGGTATAACGTGTTTCGCTACAATTTACCCGTTATTATATTGTAATAACTATTTATAATATAAATTTTATTTGGCATATTATTTATAGCACAAGGGTTGAGACAAATATAGCAAACGGTTTGCTCAACGCGTGTATAACCAGCGAGGTGTATTACGACCCGGTGGGGCCCCACCCGGTCGGCATGTTTATCACGTGTTGCAATAAGACATCGATGACACCCGCCCTGTCGTGGTTTGTGCAAAATCACGGCAACCTATCAGTGCTGATCCATCCGTTAACCCGGGAAGTGTTGGCCGATCACACGGAAAAAGCCACCTTTTTAGGCCAATCCATGCCATTAGATTTGCCAACACTTCCGCCGGTCGTTAAACAGCCCCTCAAATGCATTCCCGAACACGTCTTCCGGCGAACCGATGATTGAAATGATTTGTTGCTTATTATATAAATTGTTTACTTTT